CCGAGTTGATTTTGACCATAGTGACCCTGTATAGGGTTTCCAAGGCTGGTAGATTTGAATTGCTGACTTTGAGATTAGCAGCCCAACTGGTAAACAAACCACTTTGCTATCAGGGTTCCTTAACTCCACGAGGTAAGTGTTATTGCTTCCATTTTACAGATGGGGAGACTGAGGCACTGACCAGTTAAGTCCTTTGCTCAGGTTTATAGCGCATTAGTGACAAAACTGAGATTTGAACCTCTGCAGACTAACTTCAGTCTAGATTCTTAGTCATCACTCTATCCTGCCTCTAAGTGGTTCATTTCCAACACTCTGTCCCTGACCTAAGAGACACGACTGTTCCACTCTACACCTCAGTTTTCTCATCTGCACAATGGGAGTAATTGGAATAGATAAATGCACTTCAACTTTGGTGATGCTTGTCTCTCTGGTAATTAATTACTCATTCAATTTCTCCTCTTCTGGACTCCCAGAGTATTGGAGACAAAGGATATCACAGTCAGTGTTGTATTCTTAATTAATTCTTAGGACATAAAAACTCAAATATTTGTTGAGTAAGTCATCTTTAAGGAACCCTGGTAGTGTAGTGCTTTATGAGGTAGACTACTAACCACAAGACCAGTAGTTTAAATCCTACCAGTCGCTTCATGGGACAACAATGAGACTTTCAGCTCTTGTAAAGATTTATAGCCTCGGGAACCCTATACAGGGTCGCTATGCGTCACCAGCTCCAAGGCACAGCACTACCACCAAGTCATCTCCTGGTGTGGCGCTGTTGGATAAACACTGGACTACTAATCACAAGGGTAGTGGTTCAAACCTACCAGCTGCTCCTAGAAGCCCTACACTGGCTCGCTATGTTTCGGAACCAACTCCGTGGCACCTATCAACAACAACAAGAAGTCATCTTTAGTGGTTTGGGGATCATTACTTCCTGAAGCATATGATAAAAGTTTTGGATCCTTTGCATAGAATAATCAGCATATAAGTAAAGAAGTGTTACTACTTGGGTTTCAGTTCATACATGCACAAGTTGAATCCAAACAAACATGTTTAAACAATTCTCAGTAATGCACTTTCCTGAGTCTCATTTGTTGTTGTTGTATGCCACTGGCTCAGTGACCATTCTGAGACCAGACATCCTTACGGGAGCAGAAAGCCTCATCTGTCACTCTTGGAACAGCTGGTGGATTTGAACTGCTGACCTTGCAGTTAGCAGCCCAACACCCAGTGCTGTTGTATAGTTCTGCCAAGTCAGTTTCGACCCATAGGCACCCGTATAGGTTTTCTGAGGAGCTGCTGGTAAGCTTGAACCACCGACCTTGTAGTTCAAACTGACCTTGTAGTCTAGCGCATTAACCCACAGAGCCACACCAGGACTCTAGAGCTCCTTTATTCTCATTGTTGTTGTTAAGTGCCATCGAGTTGGTTCTGAATCATAGCAACCCTGTATAGTGTTTCCAAGGAGCAACTAGTGGGTTTGAACCACCAACCTTGTGGTTAACAGTCCAGTGTTTATCCTACAGCACCACACCAGGACTCCTTAGTCTCTTTAAGGCCCTGATTACAAAAAAGTAAGTCACTAAACAGTGACTTCTGAGGGGATTTGCTGTTAATTTCAGTTAAATTCAAGGCAAACAAGTCATCTCAGAAGGTTACAATGACTTTTTTGGGATTTCAAAGATGTAATCTTGATAGATTTTCTCCAAGAACACAGGATGATCACAGGCATTTATATAAAGAAGTTTCAATGAAACTGAAAACTGCATTGGCAAGAAAAAAGCCAGAAAATTTGTGCCTAGGAATTTCCCCCCTTTCTCCCCATTATGACAATGTACCTGTTCATTCTTTCAGGGTAGAAATGGTTTTCCTGTGAGAATTTCCTTGGGAAACCTTATTCCACCCATAACCCTGATCTTGCCCATTTAAACCTCTTTTTGCTCCTAAAACTCAAAGAGCATTTAAAAGGAAATTGATTTGAGTCCCTTGAAGAAGCCAAAACTGCTGTATTGACGTGATTGGTGTAAATTGTGGAGTGTAGAATTCTTCAGCAAAGTGTTATTGTTCTGAAGTGCTGTTGAGTCAGTTCCGACCCACAGTGACCCTGTATAGGGTTTCCAAGGAGCAGCTGGTAAGCTTGAACCGCTGACCTTGCAGTTCAAACGGCTTTGCAGTCTGGTGCATTAACCCACAGCACCACCCCAGGCCTCCTAAGGGAGATGTTAGAAAGCTGGAAACACTGCCTTCAAAGTGTATAGACCTAGATGGAAGCTACAATCAGAAACAATGCTTTACATCTTAATAGTTTTGTTGTAACACTTTTTGATTTACCAGTGATTCTCCACCAGAGTGACCCCCTTCTCTCAGGGCATTTGGCAATACCTGGCATCATTTTTGGTAGTCAAACTGAAGGAGGGGGAGAGTCACAGTTCCTAGCTGAATGGCTGGAGGTTCAAGTCCACCTAGAGGCACCTTGGAAGAAAGGCCTGGTGATTTACTTCCAAAAAATCAACCATTAAAAGCCCTAAGGAGTCAGTTCTACTCTGACATACATGGGCCGTTGTGAGTTGAAATCTACTTCACACCAACTATTCCGTTGATGGTGGTGAAGAAAAAATGAGGTGCTTATAGAAAGCTTACCATAGTGCTCAACATAGTACATCTTAGAAAACGGTAACTTAGCATTATTATTACTCCTGGTGTATCATTGTAGGATCAGCATTAGACTGCGAACTACTGTAGGATCAGCAAGGTTTGCAGTTCAAAACCACCAGCTGTCCTCGGAAACCCTATACAAGGTCACTATGAGTCAGAACCAACCTAGCGACATTTAAAAACAGCATTATAGTTTAAAGGGGAAGGACTTGTCTAAGGTCACACAGCTAGGAAATGGCAGAGCTAGAAGTGAAAACCAGGATTGTAGGAGTCATTAATTAGCGAACTTCAGGGCTTCAGTCTTCATGTGAGAGAAGTTAATTGTCTTCATCCCATGGATTCTGTTATGAGATAAGTATGTACAGGGGTTGGCACATGGTAAACCCGTTAAATATACTTTTGAAATTGTCGTTATTGTTCTTCCCAGATAAGACAAGTGTACTTGGCAGGAGTAGAGAAAGGCTGGCTGTTACTGACGTGCTGTTGCATGTCAGCAAGTCAATACTGACTCAGGGTTTTCTGGATTGTAAACTTTACCAGCAGATTGCCAGGTCGTTTCTCCCATGAAGCCTTGGGATGGGTTTGACCTACTGCTCTTTCCATTAGCAGCTGAATGCTTAACTGTTGCCCCACCAGGGTTCCTTGGTTAATGAAATACCAAACCCATTCGTTGTCCTTAAGGATTCTAGCTCATGGGATGCTAAAGGACAATTTTGTTGTTGTTGTTAAGTGCCGTCAAGTCAGTGTACAGGGTTTCCGAGGGTGTAAATCTTTACAGGAGTAGAAAGCCTGATCTTTCTTCCGCGGAGCAGCTGGGGGTTTTGAACCGCTGACCTTAAGGTTCGCAGCCTGATTCGTAACCACTACGCTAAAGGACAATAAAGGACCCTAAAGCCCCAGAGCGTAGTGGTTACGAATCGGGCTTCGAGCCACAAGGTCAGCAGTTCAAAACTACCAGCTGTTCCGCGGGAGAAAGATGAGGCTTTCTGCTCCCGTAAAGGTTTACAGCCTCAGAAACCCTCTACAGGGTCGTTATGAGTCGGAACCGACTCCACGGCACTTAACAACAAAGCCCCAGAGGGTTTCCAAGGCTGTAAATCTTTAGGGAAGCACACTGCCATATCTTTCTCCTAGGGAGAGGAACCTTTTGGTAAGCAGCTGAGTGCTTAACCACCGTGTTACCTGAGCTCCCCCGGTTAATGACATAAAGACTAAAACCAAGCGCATTATCATCAAGTTGATTCCGGTTCACAGCAACCCAATACATTGTTGTTGTTATGTGCCTGGAGTCGGTTCCTACCCATAGTGACTCCATAGAGGGTTTCTGACCTTGCAGTTCAAACCGACCTTGCAGTCCAGCACATTAACCCTTGGAGCTAGAGCAGGGCTGAGGATCTGAAAGGATGTCTTGCAGTCATCCCACCCTCTCATTTTTCGGTTGAAGAATTGAAAGCCCAGAGAGTGGAAGGAATTTATTCTAGATCACACAGCGGATTAGAGCTAGTCGTAAAACCCAGGTCTCCCGATCCCAGGCTGCAATCATGCTCTTGGCCCAAATAATTAAAAGCCATTACAATGGCTTGCAAGGTACACTGTACTAAGTGTTTTATGTGCTTGATCTCATTTTATCCTTACAGCAATTTAGGGACAAAGGGTCCTTTTAGCAGCTGAGGTAACATATTCAAAGCAGTGAAGACAGTTGCCCAAGGTGCTGAAGAGCATGAAGCCATGTCTGCTGGTTTCCAGATTGCACAAATGACCCTCTTTACTGCCCTCAAGGACTCTGCATGTCAAAGACAGGGGGTTGCCCCCATGATGGAATGCCCCAATGTACCTACTCCTGGCTCCCTGATGGAGCAGGGAAGGAAAGCTGAGTCCAGAATGGCTTCTGGGAAGAGAAAAGAGGGCGGAGTCTGAGAATGGTGGTGGTGGGGGGCTGGTGAGGGAATGAGGTTGAGGGGCTAGTGTGTCACAGAAGACAAAAGGGGGCAAGGGGACCATTAGGTTCCACTATCCTCTTCTTTTAGGCTGACCACTTGGGGAGTCCTCAGCCTCACCCACTTCTCTCCTTTTCCCACACTTCTCATAAACTTTGCAGTTTGTAAAAACCTCACCCTCCCTTACTGCCTGCGGTTTCCTGTGGGTCTGGGGTCCGGCCTGACTCGGCAGCAGGGAGAGGAGGTGGTGTAAGCCCTTTGCCTTCTCACGCTGGGTTTATCCACCCCCACCCCCACCAGCCCCTGAGTCAGCCCTGCCTGGCGGGGAGGGGCGGGGTCACTGATTCAGGCTCCTTAAAGCCCCCAAGAGTGCAGCTGCAGTCAGACACTGCTACTCTCGCCCTCACCATGAGTCCCTGGCAGCCCCTGGTCCTAGCGCTCCTGGTACTAGGCTGTTGCTCTGCCGCCCCCCGACCACGACAACCTACCTTTGTGGTCTTCCCAGGAGACCTGCGAACCAATCTTACCGACAGGCAACTGGCAGAGGTAGGCAAACACACCAGTCTAGAGTTGTGGAGGACTGGCCAGGAAAGTGTTGAGGGTCCCCAGAGAGGGTAGGGGCCTCAGAGGAGATGATTTGGAGGGTGCAGTGGGTGATGGAGAACAGAGGTACCCAGGCCAGGTACTAGTGATGGTGAGGTCCTGTGGAAGCTCTGGACAATTGATACGATATGGGAATCTCCTCTGTGGACAATGGGATGCTGGGACTGGAGGGAAGGATTGGAGGATTCTGCAGTGGACCTGGGCTAGGGTGCCTAGAGTGGGTCTGGGTACTCCAGGATGGGCCCTGGGGAGTCTGGGGTAGGTATGGGCTAGGGACATCCAGGGGTGGGAGAGACCTGAGGGTATCTAGGATGGAGGGGAATTCCTGAGTGGTCAAAAAGCATTGGTATCTAGGATACAAAGTTCTGGGCACAAGGACTTATTGCTAGATCCTGGGCACCTGGAATCCAGTAGGACAGAGCAAAAGGTCAGGCTCTGGGATGTCCTTGGGGTGCTTAGTTACATGTCATGGGCCCCTTTCACCCACAGGAATACTTGTATCGCTATGGCTACAAACGTGTGGCCGAGATGCAGGGCCAAAAAGAGTCCCTGGATCAGGCGCTGAGGCATTTCCAGCAGAAGCTACACCTGCCTGAAACAGGAGAGCTTGACAGCGCCACTTTGGACGCTATGCGAGCCCCACGCTGCGGCGTCCCGGATGTGGGCCGCTTCCAGACCTTCGAGGGCGACCTCAAGTGGCAACACCACAACATCACATACTGGTATGTTGTTGGGCCCTGCTGTAGGGAGGGAAGGTCATCTTGTCGGGTTAGCGGTGACCTGTCTTAGGTCTCCGGGCTTCGCTACTTAATCGGACTCCACCGCACATAACCACTGTGCGGCACTGTAGAATAAGCACTCGACCACAAGGCTGGTTTGAATTGCAAAGCTGGAGGTTCAAACTCACCAGCCGCTCCTCGGAAACCTTATCTAGGGTCACTATGAGTCAGAACTGACATGACAGCATGTGCCTCTGAGCTTCCGTTTTCCCTTTTCGAAAATGGACTTCTGGATCCTAGCCTACCGGCAGGGCCCATCCACAAATCCACAGAGAAAAATGCCCCTGAGGGCTGCAGGGGTGAAAGCACGGAGTGCAGGGAGCCTGTGGACTCTGAAGCCGCTGAGACGAGGGTGTTTGCAGCCGTCCTCGCCCTGGCCTCATGCCTTTCCCCTCCCGCAGGATCCAAAACTACTCGGAAGATTTGCCCCGAGACGTAATCGATGACGCTTTTGCCAGAGCCTTCGCACTGTGGAGCGAGGTGACGCCACTCACTTTTACCCGCGTGTACAAAGCGGACCCTAAGGATGTGGACATCGTCATTCAGTTTGGCTTCCAGGGTGAGAACACGAGAAGGGGAAAGTAAAGAGGGTGATGGATGGCGGAACAGAGGGTGAAGGAAGGACCACCGAAAGTGTGGAGAGGGTGGTTGCCCTGTGGTGCCCCCTCCTGCCCGCCCATCCGGCCCAGCGCCAGGCACTAGGCTTGGAGAGCTGCGCGCACTCGACTCTAAAGGAGTGCCCAATCTGAATCTGTACTCTGCTAACCCGTTCTCTGCGTCTTCTGCTTCAGAGCACGGAGATGGCTATCCTTTCGACGGTAAGGATGGGCTCCTAGCTCATGCCTTTCCTCCGGGCCCCGGCATCCAGGGAGACGCCCACTTCGACGACGACGAGTTGTGGACCTTGGGCAAGGGCGTTGGTGAGATCCTGAGCCTCTCCAGTCTCCCTTCTCACTTCAGACCCATTCCCAGCCGCCCTCACCGGGTCTTCTTCCTCCGCAGTGGTTCCCACCCGCTTTGGAAATGCAGATGGCGCCCCCTGCCACTTTCCCTTCACCTTCGAGGGTCGCTCCTACACTGCTTGTACCTCTGCCGGCCGTTCAGACAATATGCTCTGGTGCAGCACCACGGCAAACTATGACACGGATGGCCAGTTCGGCTTCTGCCCCAGCGAGAGTGAGCGCGGGGTTCGCGGCAGGGGGTCGGGACACCCACTAACCTAAAGGAGCCAGACTGTGGGTTCTAATCCCACCTCTACCACTAATGTGTGGTCTTTGAGTCAATCCCCTGCTCTCTGGGCTCAGCGTCCTCATTAGTGATGTGAGGATAGCAGGGGGTGGATTACAGACGCTCTGTGGGTCAGGGAACTCGTGGCACCTCAGGGTGACAGTGTGGGCCTCCCCAGGACTCTACACCCACTACGGCAATTCCGATGGCAAGCCCTGCGTGTTTCCGTTCACCTTCGAGGGCCGCACCTACTCCACCTGCACCACTGAAGGCCGCTCCGACAACTTCCGCTGGTGCGCCACTACTGCCAACTATGACAAGGACGGACTGTATGGCTTCTGTCCCACCCAAGGTATCTCTGACCCGGCCACCAAACTCAGCTCCACCCAGTGGCCCTGCATGGGTGCCTGAAACATGGTTCCTCCAGCGCATCACTTTGGTTCACTTCCTTTTGTCCTCAGAACCTTGGTGATTCTACCCACAGTTACACCTTCTCCCCTGACTTCCATCTGCCCTGCCCCACCCACCACTCAGCCACGTCTTCGGTGGCTTCTGCCCCCAAGCCCCTGATCACTGCCAATGCCCTGTCTCAGTTTAGCCTCTTAAGACCCCCTAGCCTTGACTGGCCCCTGGATCCTTCTTGAACTCATGTCACCAGCTCACCCAAGGAGCCCTGGTGGCACAGTGGGTTAAGCTGCTAACCACACAGTCGGTGGTTCAAACCCACAAGATGAGACTGCCTGCTCCTATAAAGATATACAGTCTCAGAAACTCTGTGGAGCAGTTCCACTCTTGTCCTATAGGGGTCGCTGTGAGTTAGAACCACCTCCATGGCAGTATGTGAATGATGGATGGGTGGGACAATGAGTGGGTAGGATCCTGTTCAACCAATCATTCTGGTTCTTTCTAGCGGACTCAACAGTGACCGGGGGCAACTCCCCGGGGGAGCAGTGTGCCTTCCCTTTTATCTTCCTGAACAAGGAATACTCATCCTGTACCAGGGAGGGCCGCCAAGATGGGCGCCTCTGGTGTGCTACCACCTCGAACTTTGACCACGACAAGAAGTGGGGCTTCTGCCCTGATCAAGGTGGCTGCAGGGGTGGTAGTGGGGGCATGGAGTGGGTTGTGGGCTCGACTCCTCGCTCACATCTCAGGTTCTTTTCCCTCCAGGATACAGCCTGTTCCTTGTGGCGGCTCACGAATTTGGTCATGCGCTGGGCTTAGATCATACGTCAGTACCTGAAGCCCTCATGTACCCCATGTATCGCTTCACAGAGGAGTATCCCTTGCATGCGGACGATGTGGAGGGCATCCAGAATCTCTATGGTGAGGTTATGGGGCAGGGAGGGATGCAGGGGAAAGCAAGAATGGACCCTATACAGGGTTGCTATGATTTGGAATTGACTTGATGGCACTTAACAACAACAACAATCTGGTGGAGAGCTGAGTCCGGCAGTGATTGCAGATAGTGATTACGAGCTCAGACTCAGGTGAGGTGGACATGGCTTCACAAGCCAGTCCAACCACTTCCTGGTTAAATGACATTAGAACATGTTACTTCACCCTTCAGTGCCTAAGTTTCCTCATCTGCAAAATGGGGTTGTTAATATTAGCTACCTCACAGGATTGTTAGAGGTTAAGTGAATTAGAACAATGCCTGGTACATGGTAAGCACCATGTAAGTGATTGATGTTTTGTGTTATAATCACTTGTCATTGTTATTAGCAACATTTCCTCATTTGAGAAATGGGAATATTAAAGGATATACTTCATAGGGTTTCTGCCCTATCAATGAACCAGTGTGAATTTGTAAAGCTCTTTACGTGAATTTGGTACATGGTGAGCTCTCAAAAGAGTTCTTCCCCTAAGCCTGCATCCTCTGTCACAGATAATCAGTTTGCATGAAATGTAGCAGGGGTTGGGGTCTGAGTCAGGCAGGGGAAGCAGGTGCTAACATTTCCAGTGAGGTAGAGAGTGTGTGTGCAGAGATGTGGGGAACAGGAGTGTCTTATCCAGTACCTCTTTTTAGGTCCTCGTCCTAAACCTGACCCTCAGCCTCCAACTACCACCACACCTGAACCCCAACCCACAACGCCCCCGACTGTCTGCCCCACGGGACCCCCGACTGTCCACCCCTCAGAGCGCCCCACTGCAGGTCCTACTGGCCCTCCTTCATCTGGCCCCACGGGTCCCCCCACTGCTGGCCCTTCTGCGGCCCCTACAGTGCCTCTGGATCCCTCGGACAATGCCTGCAATGTGAACATATTTGATGCTATTGTGGAGATTGGGGACCACCTGCATTTCTTCAAGAATGGGTGAGGGGGTGGGGATGTGTGGTTGAAGGAGGGGACTTACAGGGGGCACCTGTCTATCAGTCTCCTGTTCTTGGTCCTCAGTTCATGGCTCTGGGCATGCCTCTCTTCCCTTTCCTGTCTCCAGGAGGTACTGGCGACTTTCTGAGGGCAGTGGACGCCGGGTGCAAGGCCCCTTCCTTATCTCAGACACATGGCCCCAGCTCCCTCGAAAGCTGGATTCTGCCTTTCAGGATCCACTCACCAAGAAGGTTTTCTTCTTCTCTGGTAAGTTCCTCTCACCCCCACTCTATCCAATCCACCCTCATCTCCCTGTGAGGAAGACTGAGAAGTGGAGGATAAGCCATACAACATCTTTGTGTGGATTAGGAAAAGGCACATCTTCCTGGTGGATGCAGTTTAGCAAATTTATAACCAAAAACCTTCAAGTCAGTTCCAACTCATGGAGACCCCATGGATGTCAGAGTAGAACTGTATTCTCTGGTGTTTCCAGCTGCTGTGATCTTTTGGAAGTAGATTGCTAGGGCGTTTCTCCGAGGTAACCTCTGGAGCTCACCCATGCTAACTCAACAAGTGGCTTTGCCTCTTGGGAACTGAGAATATGGGCACATGAGTCTGGGAAAAACCTCTGTGAGTCCTTGCTCCTCATATTTTAGGATAATGTATGCACTCTCCTAGAAGCTGAGACCAATGTGACCCTTTTCACCTGTAGGGCGCCAGGTGTGGGTGTACACGGGCGCTTCGGTGCTGGGCCCCAGGCGGCTGGACAAACTGGGCCTGGACCAGAAAGTGTCCCATGTCACTGGGGTGCTTCCACGCGGTGGTGGTAAGGCACTGCTGTTCAGCGGGCAGCACTTCTGGAGGTGAGCACCACGGCGGCTGCCGGCAGGGGGAGCCCGGGCGCCATCCTCCGGCCCAGCCCTCCAGTTCAGCACTGTCTGCCTTGTTGCAGGTTCGACGTGAAAGCACAGAAAGTAGATTCTGGGACGGTCAGCCCTGTGGACCAGATGTTTCCTGGGGTGCCCTTGAATACTCATGACATCTTCCAGTATCGAGGTGAGGGGGTAGTCTGGGGACAGGAGGGAGGTCTTTTCCCTTGCTTAAGTCAAATTCTAAGCAAGAAAGAAAAAGGTGTCAGAGATTGAGGCAGACAGATATCAACACATGTGAGATCTCTACGGCAGCAGATACAGTTCCCAGGCCAAGCAGGAAGCTAGGGACACAGCCAGAACTCTAGGACCCAAATCCCATTCCTTCTTGGTGGGAAGGTCTTCCCATCCCCCAGTGTAGGTCATGTGGTTTGCATGGCGGCTCAGTCCTTTATTGAACAAAGTACCTAGAACGTGCTGCCACAGGTCATGTGGTGATAAACAAGACAGCCCGTAATTGTGTGTCTTTGGCCAAGTCACTGCTCCTCTCTGAGCTTGTGTGGCCATCTCTAAGACAGGGAGGATAGTTGGAGTTTCTCTCTTTCTCTCTGACTGCTCACACTCAGTCAGTTGGCGAGTTCTATTGAGCCAATCATCAAACTAGGTATTTTTTAATATCACTTTTCTTTTGCATATGCTTTTGTCCAAGCCCTGCTTGACTGTCCAATATCTTTAATATATCCCCTGGGAGTAGGAATGGGTTGGGAGTGGAAGGCAGTGGTCTTGGGCTGACTGTAGACTCATTTCAAGGTCAAAGAAACCAACAGGATCGAACCCTCACCCTGGTCCTCATCCCCTCCCACAGCTCCTGTCATTCACTCTGCTCTGCCCACACCCACCTTCTGGCAGCTCTTTGAACAGATCAAGGTCATTCCTGGCTTAGGGCCGTTACACCAGTTGTTCCCTCTGTCTGTTTACCTGGTTACCTTGCTTCCCTCTCGTCCTTTAGGTATCAGTGCCAAGGCCATCTTTTCAGAGAGGCTTTCTCTCACCTTCTTTATCATTTCACTTATTTCCTTATAGTTCCTCCATAGCTTTTTATGTTGCCAAAACCCATCTTGCTGATTTTCATGGTTACTTGGTCATCGCCCCACTAAAGTCTAACCAAAAGAACCGATCAGGCCTGTATTTTTCTCTAATGTATCCCCAGTGCCTCACACAGCGCTTGGCACATAGTAGGTGCTCAATGAATATTAGTTGAACAATAGATGAATCTATTGACTGAATGAATGCACATCACATGAACTGTTGTGGGCACTGAGATAAGTCAGCCATTCATTTCATTGTTAGTTCATTCACAAAATGTCTTCTGAGCACCTACTCTATGCCAGGCTCTGAACCAGTGCTTTAGGCATAGAGGTCTGTGCCTTCTAGCATGGCACAGGCAGGTGAGGGAGATGTACGTATCATGTGAAAACCTTGAAGGATCTAGAAAGGGCAGGAGAGTTGATTGAAAAGGTCTTGCTTTTATGGGATGTGGATATTGGAGGCTTGGGATCTCCCCTCTCATCCCTGCCTCTCTCCTACAGAGAAAGCCTACTTCTGCCAGGACCACTTCTACTGGCGTGTGAGTTTCCGGAATGAAGTGAACCAGGTGGACGAAGTGGGTTATGTGACCATAGACCTTCTGCAGTGCCCTGAGGAGTAGGGCTCTCCATTGTGTTTTGACAATGCAGTGAGCTTCCGCCTGGGGATTCGGCCCAGGTGGGGAGGAGCCAGTTTGCAGGCTACAAACTGGTGGGTCCATTTTAGGGACAGAGAGGAACAGAGGTGGGCTGGCCCCTTCTCCCACTTTCTTTTTTGTTGTAATGTTTCTAATAAACTTGGATTCTCTAACCTTGAGAAGCGAATTTGTATGTATGTGTATGTTGCTGCTAAGTGCCGTCAAGTCGGTTCCGACCCATAGTGACCCTGTATAGGGTTTCTGAGGAGCAGCTGGTGAGCTTGAACTGCCGACCTTGCAGTTCAAAAGGCTTTGCAGTCTGGCGCATTAACCCACAGCGCCACACCAGGATTGCATATAGGTATGTATTTAGTGGGTAGAGTGCTTACTGTATGTCAGGCAATGTTCAAAGCACATTTCATAAATATTTACATATTCAGTCATAAAGGATTCCTGGTGGCTCAGAGGTTAAATACTTGGCTGAGAACCTAAAGGTGGGCAGTTTGAATCCACCAGCTGCTCTGCAGGAGAAAGATGTGGCAGTCTGCGTCCATTAAGATTTACAGCCTTGGGAAGCCCTATGAGGCAGGTCTACTCTGTTCTATCCAGTTGCTATGAATTGGAATTGACTCCACGGCAGCGGTTTTTGTTATTTTTTTGGTGTATTCAGTCTTTAAAAGAAAACACGTGAGTAGTCACCATTGAGTCAATGCCAACTCATGATGACAATGTGTATCAAAGACTCTTCATAGACTCTTCAGTGAGGGATTTTTCAGAAGTAGATTACCAGATCTTTCTTCTAAGATCCTTCTGGGGAGACTCCAACCTCCAACCTTCTGGTGACCACTGAGCACGACTGTTTGCATGACCCAGAGATTCCGTTCAATTGGTACAACTACCCTATTTTAAAAGTCTGCTCTATTACTGATGTACAGCCAAGATAATGCCTCATCTTCATCAAACATTTTTTTTGTGCCCTTACCTAGAATCCTGCCCTGGTTGCTGGGTATTGCAAATAGATGACCAGCCCCTAAAATCTAGAAATCAGTTGCTTAAACTTCTTACCCTAGCCTAGGGTTTCTCAAATTCCGCTCTATTGAAACTTCTTGTTGTCGTTGTTAGGTGCCATGGAGTTGGTACCAACTCATGGCTACCCTACGCACAACAGAATGAAACACTGCCCGATCCTGGGCCAACCTCCCAGTCGTTGCTATGTTTGAGCTCATTGATGCTGCCACTGTGCCGATCCATCTCATTGGAGGTCATCCTCATTTTCTCCGACCCTCCACTTTATCAGTGACTGGTCCCTCCTGGGTAATATTTTGCTGTGGGAGGCTGTCCTATACAACGAAGGATGGATGTTTGGTGTCTTACCCATGATGTGGTGGGAAGAGGGTGTGGGCAGCCATCTGTGGCCAAATATTATACCAATTTAGGGTCAGTTCCCCTTCACCATCTCCTGCTATGGTCCCTGTTGGATGTATTAAGGTGACAGTGAACCTGTGGCTTGTGGCCAGGGAACGTTGGTGAGGCTGGGATTACACAAGTCGCCTTTACACACTAGATGTCTTCAGTACCCCCCAGTTGTAACAACCAAACAAATGCCCCTGATGAACAACAAACATTGCTCGAGGTTGAGTGCCATTGTGCTGGCTAGTGTAATCAATATACAGGCAAGTGCACCCATCACAAGTGTACATTTCAATACAAGTTCACAAATTAACATAGTTCTGTAACCAGCATTCAGATCATGAACGAAAACCTTATCAGCACCTCAGAAGCTCCTGTATGTCCCTTGCAAACCTTTATTCCTTTCCCCCCAATAAACAACTACTATCATGACTTCTAACAGCTTAGACGATCTCTGTACTTTAGTCAAATAGTGTCATATAGCCTGTGCTCATTTGTACGTACTGTACTGACTTTTACTCAATGTCAAATCTGGGGAATTCATCTGTATTCTGTGAATTATAGGTTGCTCATTCTTATGACTATGTAGTATTTCATGGTGTGAATGGAGCACAATGTATCCATCTGATTATTGATGGGCATTGGGGTAGTTCCTCATTTGGGGCTATTATGAATACTGCTCTGGGCATTCTTGTAAATGATTTCTGGTGAACCTGTGCAGCCATCTCTTTTGGGTATATACCCAGGAATGGAATTGCATGTCAAAGGGTATGTGTATATTCGGCTTCAGTAGCTATTACCAAATAGTTTCCAAAATCTTGACTCCTCACGTCCCATCATCAGGTCCTGTTGTCGGTTCCACTTCCCAAACTTTATCTGTAACCAGTTAACGGTCACCACTCTAATCTAGCTACAATGAACTCTCACTTGAAGGTCTGGAGGAATTTCTTAATTAGACTCCAAGTTTGCAGTCCTGTTCTTCATCACCCAGTAGCCAGACCACTCCTGTTAAAATAGGAAGCAGATCACATTTTCCCCCTTCTGTAAAACCTCCAATGGCTTTCCTTTTGGATTAGAAAAGAATCTGAGCTCCTCCCTGCGGCCTTCAAGATACCACATGAGTGCCTGCCTCCCCTCAGTGACCATCAGTCTCCTTCCCACTCACTCTGTTCCACTGGTCTTAATGTTCTTTGAACAGCACAGACTCCTTCCCACCCCAGGACCTTGGCGCTTGCTATTTGTTCTGCCAGATAACTCGTCTTTGTATAGCTGGCTCCTTCTCACCTGTCAGCTCACAGCTCAAATATTACATCTCCTGGGAGGCCTCATTCTCAGATCATCTCCTACGTTGCCCTTCTCCCTAGTCTTATCCCACGACCCTATTTTCTTCTCTTCGGAACATATACCACAGTTGACACGTATCTTGTCTATGCGATTTATCTTGTCTATGCGATTTATCTTGTCTATGCGATTGCTTGCTTGTGATCTTTCTTCTTCACACCTCCCTAGAATTTAGCTGCAGAATCTCATTCACTGCTGTATCTCCAATTCCTAGCACCCATGCCTGAATCACAGGGCGCTATCAATATGTGTTGAACGAATGTTTGAGCCCCAGGTGTTTAGGATAACCTAGCAGAGGCGGTCCAGGGCTCTGAAGAGGCACACTAGGCTCTCAGCTGAGGGTGGTCTCTTAAAGAGCTTCGGGTGGGCTACAAAGCCCAGGGATAGGCTCTTAAAGGGCTTCGGGTGGGATAGAGCGCCGAGCAAAGTAGCTGGGATCAGGAAGGATATGCTAAACGGGCACTAGGACCCTGCGTGGCGCCGCGGCGAGCAAGGGGGTGGGGGCGGGCGGGGGTATCCGCTCTTTCTCCCTCTCCGAGGCTGGCTGCGGCCACTTGTGCGATCTGGGCCCGTACTGTGGCTGCCTGCTTTCTTTCCGCGTCATGAGCCGCAGGTTCACGGTCACCTCGCTACACCCTCCAGGGCGCGCCGGGATTCCTGATTCCGAGTCCGGCCGTCCACCGTCTGCAGACCACCGCCACGTCCCGCGGGAAGACGCCAAAGGTAGAGGCCGCAGGGGGCGGGGTCGGGCGTGCCAGGAAAGGGGCGGGACCTGGAGGGGGCGGGGCGAGGCGAGGACTGGACTTGGGAGGGACGGGTCTTCAGTTGAAAGGGGTGGGGACCGAGGTTCCAGCAGTGGGCAAAAGAGAAAAGGGGAGCCCGAGCTGAAGGTGTGAAGGGGCGGGGTCAGACAGAGGGGCGGGCCCACAGGGAAGAGGGTAGAGCCAGGGAATGAATTGGGGCCTTAGGCCAAGGAGCAACCGGGTGATGGAGAGACCAGAGTCAAGGGGGCTAAGCTGGAGGGCAATGAAGGAGTCGGGGTGGGGACATCTCGAGAAGGGAGCGAGATCAGAGGGGAAGAGCTGGGCCCAAGGAGAAGACTGGGCGTGTGATTGAGGGGTGGGTCCAGAGGTTGGACCAGGAGAATAGGATGGGGCCAGGGCTGGGGGCCTGAGATCAGGGAGAGAGGGAAAAAATGCTTCTGGACCTCTGAGGCAGGTGTTGGGTCAGCGGGTCTTTGGTGTCTGAATGGGTCCCTGAAATGTCTCAGGCAGCGTCCGCGGATCCCAGGACGAAGATGGGGAAAAGAGAAGTTGGTTTGGATCCTGGACAACCAGATCCAGGGAGGATTCCGTGGGGACACTGGCCCTAGCCCTTGAGTACTCATTTGGCTTTCTGCACCATCTTCCGAAGGGTTGGGAGGGGCCAGTTCATGCAGGGTTGAGGATGTTTTCCTCTCGGACCAGGTGCATTGGTACCCGCAAGGGTACAGAGGCGAGGGGAGAGGAGAAGGATTCTTCTAGACTTGCTTGAAGAAGTAGCATCTTAGTTGTACACACAGTCTCTTCGGCAGGGGACACTTATCAGGGGTTCTCTGCCTGGCTCTGTGCTCCTCAAGTCTGGAAGGAACAAGGCCAGTCTGCTTACAGTGGCCCCACCGCGGGGAGGAGGAAGAACCTCCTAGGGGCCGCCAGGGGTCGCTGCTGAGCCGCAGGTGAGCTCGCCCTAGCCAGCCAAGTAAGCCCAAGTGCCAAAACCCTAAGAGATGCCCTTAGAGATTTCTTTGTTGAAATTCCTCCTTGTATGGATCCAGACCTGGAATTTCCCAGGGCTCCATCCCCTTAAGCAAAACGCCGCGGGGACGCGACCACTCGATTTTCTTGGTCTCCTTCTCTTCACCTTCCCCCTTTTCAACTTTCAGGCATACCATCCTTCCAGGACTGAAAATCAGAAATCTGGGAGCCAGCCTCAAGGGTTTCATTTATTTTCCCACCAAATCGATTTGGTCGTCAAGTCCACAACTTATCCCGAACCTGGCCACGTCCCCCATCTAAGCCTCCAACCTGTTTCACTTGGTTACATCCACAGCTCCTCACTGGCTCCCTGCCTCCAGTCTGCCTTAACTATCTTCCACACAGACTCCCAATCACTTAATCTTCCATTCAAGCTCTCTCGTCATCTGCTCATGGTAGGCCCCCTCCCCCTCACTATTAGGAAACCCGTACTCTCTAACT